GGCGGCAGTTCATCGCAGAAGAATTCGAAGTCTTCCTCCAAGAACTCGGAATCAAGCACTTGCCGACCTCGGTGGAGCACCCCCAAACCAACGGCCAGGCCGAAGCAGCCAATAAGGTCATCCTCCGGGAACTCAAGAAACGGCTAGGGAACGCAAAAGGGGAGTGGCCCGACATGCTTCCCGGCATCCTCTGGGCATACCACTGCACCCCACAGTCAACCACGCAAGAAACACCTTACCGACTATCTTATGGTGCCGACGCAATGATCCCGGTAGAGGTCGGACAAACATCCCACCGACGCCAAGTCTTCAACAATGAACAAAATAACCACGAGCTAGCAACAGACCTCGACCTGCTAGACGAGCTCCGACGTAGATAACTTATCTACGAAAATTTCCGTAGATAACTAAAAATTATCTACGAAAATGATTCCGTAGGTAATATTCCGTAGATAACTAAAAATTATTTACGGAAAAAATTCCATAGATAATATTCCGTGGATAACTAAACATTATCTACGAAAAAAATTTCATAGATAATATTCCGTAGATAATAATAATTTTTCTTGTAGTACGCAGTGCTGATATTGCCGCTTTGCGGTGCTGACATTGTTGAATGTTGTGGGGTAGTATAAGCTGTGCTGGTGTGCTGATTAGTTGTAGCTGTTTACTATCATATTGTTATATATGTATGTTGATTTCTTTTCACTAGCTTACCCTTTGTTGTTTCCATGGTGTTTGGACTGCAATGATCATACAATGTATGGGAGCAGAGCAGGGATATGTTGGTGGCTAGTGGCAGGACTGCAGATGGTAGATAGGGCTGATTTCCTTTAATGTTTTGATGTTTTAGCTACTTGGTGTAGTAGCATTTGATGTATTTTGTACACTTTAACTCTATCCAGACTTGGACCTTGTATATGTATATATTCTAGACCCTATATGTATACACTTGTTCCTTTCTGTGTGGTGTTTCTAGTGTGCGGTACGATGTGTAGTGACCAGCTAGGTCGTTACATTTATATCCTTAATAAAGTACCAAGCAAAACAAGTATTACCAAGACCCCTTATGAGCTATTTTTCTTTTTAAAGTTACAATTTAGACAAACACATAAAAAAAATATTTATTTTATTAAAATAATATTTATAAAAAAAAA